CGGGCGCAGGTTGACGATCCTTAGTTGACGAGCGAATCGAGTCCCTTCTCTCTTTACCGTTGCATTGATTGCGCTTCCGTGGAACGTCAAATGAACTCGAAAAATTCAATATTATTGCAACAAGATAGAGCGAGGGAATAGTAATTATTATAGCTCAATTCTATTGCGAATGCGTGTATACGTAATGCAGCTTGATGAAATCGAATCGAACAATTTGAAGAATTTAAATCCTTTGAATACGATAAAACTTTACGCGAGAAAAGGATTAAACTGATAACTATGAATATATAGTAATTTATTTATTTACTAATAAACGGGCATAGGTTTACGTAGTACATAGAATTTATAACAAAGAACTATAGTACAGACAGAAAGACATAATAGAGACGGAATGAAAGTATAAATTATCAATTAGAAAATTCGAATAGAAAAGCGAACAGTGAACGCTTGAAAACTTCTACATCGTTGGTAAAAAATGAAGTCAATATTAGTGGAGTAACAGTTCGCTAAAATGAACCCTTAGCGCTCCGAAGGCTCCGCTACGGAGACATTTGTCATTTATTCCGTAACTCCGAAGGCTCCGCCGCGGAGCCAAATGTTTTTAGCGTACGTTATCGTCGGCGTTAGAAATTGTTATCTGTAGTTAAAACGTGCCAAGTCTGTACCATTACGATTAAACCACTTTTTCACCTTTTCTATGGTTAGCAACATGGAGAAAAATAAATATTACGATGAGAATTTAGAGCCGAGTGATACCGAAGACGTATTTGATTTCGAAGAGTTAAAAGACATTGTAAAAGACAATGTTGCTTATGATTCCGACACTTCGAGTAGTAGCAGCGAAATTATACTACCAAAGAGACGAAGAATGAGAATTATTGAAAGTGAAAGCGGAAGATTCGTTACAAGACTTAGATGAATGGCGTGATGTTACGGAAGAATTACATATTCCAGATAGAATACCTTTTAGTGTATTGCCACAGGTCATTGGACCACAAGTTCCTACAAACATTGAATAGTCGATACAATATTTTAAATTATTTTTCACGGACGAATTGGTAAATGAAATTATAAAGGGAACCAACGATTGCGCAGAAAATGTTCTAAACTTGAAAGAAATATCTAGTAACTCTATTCGGCAAAGTGAATACTGTGACACTTGTCCAAGTAGACCCAGAATGCGCATGTGAGATTGTTACCAAAGATATCACACCACGGTGAATTACAAAATTAAAAATTTATCTTTTACTTACAATAGGAAAATGTATATTTATAAAATAAATAAAATCAAATGCATTCGCAAGCACGTGTAATCTTTTCCGCTCAAAATAAGGCTTCCTTTATCTCAGGCGCTCCGCTCCAAAAATGTGCCGGAGTTGCTGGTAGGCAGTACTCGAGAAAATAATAATAAATTCATCAATAAATAATATTGACTAATATTTTATATTTAAAACGATGACTTAACTTTCTTATTTCTAAGTTCTTCGCGTCGCGTGCCGCATCGCGCTCTTGACCGACTCCGTCGACCCTTAGCATCGACGTAGCGATGAATCACATAGGCGCAGGACTAGCACAGAGAAATTTACGGGAACTCCAAATATGTCATTTCCAGGAGAAATTATTGCATTCGTGAAAATATATCCGCTCGATTTCCACGTCGAAAGTTCGTCCGGAGAGCTTCTGGATGGCAGTGCAGCGATCGGAGTTGCATCGACTCCGCGGGCTCGTTTGCCACTGGCTGTTCCGGAACACCGAAAAGTTTCATAATCGGGAGAAAATCGTGGAGAGTATCGGTTGGCCGCGCTTACCCGTCACGATCCAGCCTCCAAAGTGGCAAAAGATGTAGCTACACGGCCGAGAGATTATGCCCGCCGGCGCGGCGCGGCAACACTTTGCCCCGATTCGTGAGCGGACTCTCGATTCGCTTCGACCGGGACTCGGTCAGGAAGATAACGAGCTCGCTTACACGAGATCCACGGGTTCGATTTTTCCCGCGGCGATCGTCCGCTGTTTACCGGACCGCTCTCTGCTCCATCGAATAGAAAACCGGCGAGCGAGCGTCGTCGACGCGTTTCAAACTCCAAACTCCTCTAAACTGTCGCTAGAAATAATGCAATCGTTTAACCGGTCGGAGACGAAACTGTCTCGGAATTTGTTACACGAAGTGTACTTTTGTTTTTGTTGCGAAATGAAAATTGTCCGCATCGATTGCAAGATTAAATTAAATCGTAATTAAATAGCGATTGTTAACTCGTTCGGCGTCGCGTCGGTCGAATATGGGAGACACTAATTGCGATAAATTCTCGTTAATTGGCGTACAGATTGTACACGAAAATGGACTATTTGGAAAGGGAGGATACTGTTGTTCAAATTTTGTGGCTCGTTTTTATAGCCGCCAATTGTTAACAATTGTGAAATCGGGGCGCGAGGCTCGATTAATTGTACCTCCTCTTTCAAAAATTGTTCATTTTTGTGTACAATCTGAGCGTCGATTAGAGAGAATTTACTGGATGGACCAATTTTGAAAATTCATTTTCATTGTAATATAATTTATTATTATAAATAAAACTGAATTTGTCCAGGATGCTTCAGATGCGAAAGAGTTCTAATTTGAACGTTTTAGTTCCGGTATAATTGTGATTAACGATGCATTTAAGGATTAATCGATTATACCGAAACTATAGAAAGTTAAAATTAGAACTCTTTTGCACTCGAAGCATCCTAGTTAAATTCAGTTTCTTCGAATATATTACAATGAAAATGAATTTTATATTTACAGCATGTCCCAAAAATGTCTCGCAATCCGAAAGTGGCGGTCATTTGAAACAACTTCTGTCTTAGCGAAAATTTTCTCCGAGGCACCGTTAATGAGTTATTAACGAAAAACAGTGACCAATGAGAGGCGAGCTCAGCCGGCGCGAGGCGACCGAGCCATTGAGCGGAACTGGGCTTCGTGCACTGGTTGGCCGGGCCGCCTCGCGTCAGCCGTACTCGATTCTTATTGGTCATTGTTTTTCGTTAATAACTCGTTAACGGTGCTTCGGAGAAAATTTTTGTAAAGGAAAAAGTTGCTCCAAATGACTCGAGGAACCCGCCACTTTCGGATTGCGAGACATTTTTGGGATACCCTNGCTTCGACCGGGACTCGGTCAGGAAGATAACGAGCTCGCTTACACGAGATCCACGGGTTCGATTTTTCCCGCGGCGATCGTCCGCTGTTTACCGGACCGCTCTCTGCTCCATCGAATAGAAAACCGGCGAGCGAGCGTCGTCGACGCGTTTCAAACTCCAAACTCCTCTAAACTGTCGCTAGAAATAATGCAATCGTTTAACCGGTCGGAGACGAAACTGTCTCGGAATTTGTTACACGAAGTGTACTTTTGTTTTTGTTGCGAAATGAAAATTGTCCGCATCGATTGCAAGATTAAATTAAATCGTAATTAAATAGCGATTGTTAACTCGTTCGGCGTCGCGTCGGTCGAATATGGGAGACACTAATTGCGATAAATTCTCGTTAATTGGCGTACAGATTGTACACGAAAATGGACTATTTGGAAAGGGAGGATACTGTTGTTCAAATTTTGTGGCTCGTTTTTATAGCCGCCAATTGTTAACAATTGTGAAATCGGGGCGCGAGGCTCGATTAATTGTACCTCCTCTTTCAAAAATTGTTCATTTTTGTGTACAATCTGAGCGTCGATTAGAGAGAATTTACTGGATGGACCAATTTTGAAAATTCATTTTCATTGTAATATAATTTATTATTATAAATAAAACTGAATTTGTCCAGGATGCTTCAGATGCGAAAGAGTTCTAATTTGAACGTTTTAGTTCCGGTATAATTGTGATTAACGATGCATTTAAGGATTAATCGATTATACCGAAACTATAGAAAGTTAAAATTAGAACTCTTTTGCACTCGAAGCATCCTAGTTAAATTCAGTTTCTTCGAATATATTACAATGAAAATGAATTTTATATTTACAGCATGTCCCAAAAATGTCTCGCAATCCGAAAGTGGCGGTCATTTGAAACAACTTCTGTCTTAGCGAAAATTTTCTCCGAGGCACCGTTAATGAGTTATTAACGAAAAACAGTGACCAATGAGAGGCGAGCTCAGCCGGCGCGAGGCGACCGAGCCATTGAGCGGAACTGGGCTTCGTGCACTGGTTGGCCGGGCCGCCTCGCGTCAGCCGTACTCGATTCTTATTGGTCATTGTTTTTCGTTAATAACTCGTTAACGGTGCTTCGGAGAAAATTTTTGTAAAGGAAAAAGTTGCTCCAAATGACTCGAGGAACCCGCCACTTTCGGATTGCGAGACATTTTTGGGATACCCTATATATAATATATATTATTGTTATATTATAATAATTTATAATAATTTATAATAATAATAATAATAATATATATTATTATATATATTGTAATAAAATACTATTTTCCTAAAGACATAATTTTTCTCTTTATTTTATCTTTAATACACCCTCATTTTTAAAGTAAAGTTTGGTAAATAGAAATTGAAAGCGAAAAAGTCGCCTCGACTTCGCGTGAATTTCAATGGTTGATCGTCGACGCTGAACGCGTTAATTTGTGACAATATAAAATGAAATTGTCCAGCAGAGAGAGAGAGAGAGGCGCCAGGATCTCAGGAATTCTGTAACAATAAAGACAAGCGGTGTAACCGGTGTTAGCCGGCCACTCTAACGGCCTAATCTCTTACGTGCTCCGTGTTGTGAACGACGATAGAACACTTTCGAGCGGCAACGTGCACAAAAGAAATGAATAGAGGGGGGAGGGTGCAGGGGAGGGGACAAATTAAGATGATGTAACTTGGAACGCGCGTCTCTTGAATAATTTCCAACAATTGTCCACGTCTGCCGCCGGCAATTCCGCGCTTGTAAAGCGTTTGCCCGCGTTTGACACAGTTTCTCGAGACGCGCGCTTCCCAGCCACGTTATTCCGCCGTCTGACAGATGACTGTATTCCATTTATATTTCAGCCGCGACCCGGAAGGAGGCCCCGAGGACGTCCTGGAAACACCGCACAGTTGCAGACTACGCCCAGGATACAGAGTCCCATCTCTCAGCATCTTGAAAAAGGTGAGCGAGATCCATCCCTCTCCGTACCGTCTCACTTTCGACGCCGTTCCGGCATGTGTCCGCGCGTTCAAAATTTCAGACGCGTCGCGTCCACCGCACCGCCGCACAGTGGGCTGGATCGAGAAATCCAGTGGCATTCTGTCATAACTTTTGAACCATCGAAGATATTGCAACGAAACGTTCACCAAGAATATTTAGAAAATAGTTATTTTCAACTATAGATAATTAAATTTTTCTGCATTTGTTAACCCCTTGCCGTACTTTGACGAGTCCGACTCGTCATGAAAATTTCTAGTAATAACTTATTGAGTATATATGTTATTCTGTCCATTAAAATTTGAATAAAATTCTAATCTCTTGTCATCAATATTTAAGCATTCAAGTAAATGTAGGCGCACAATAAGCATCAATTTTCTTTCCCTTTTAAGAAATTATGGTAATCGAAAAATTTCTAATCGCAGTAACTGCGAAGAGAATAGTATGTCAAGGGGTTAAACAATAATTTTTTAATAATTTTCATTGACATTTTTTGTGAAGAAAAATTGTTCAAATATAATGTTACAAGCTATTTGTAACATTACAATAGTAACGTACCTGGAATTACTAGTGGGTCCTCGTAACCAGTGTGGGTGCAATAAGGTACGCGTCCAAGAAAAACGTCTCTGTATGCATTAAATCCTGAAGCTGCAGGTTTATTGAAACAATAACAAAATGGTAAGATTAATTAACGTACTCTACATTTTATCAGAGGTTCGAACTGTTGAAATTTACCAACTACATACAATGCATACAGAGAACTTTTTCTGGGACGCGTACTTTACTGCACCCACACAGGTTACGAGGCACCCACTAGTAATTCCAGGTACGTTAGTATTGTAATGTTACAAAGCTTGTTTCGTTTACTTATATTTTTCATGCTATACGGAATAATTTAAAATTTTAAATATCTGTCGATTTACAGACGAAGAAGTGTTTTGTAATACCGACTGGAACACAGAGAGATTATCTTCGATATCTTTAACCTCGAAGTAACGTAACGTTGATATCTTTAAAACGTAATAATTTACAATCTGGTTCGTCTTGGTATGTAACTTTTACAGAATTATGTAGAAGAAGGTATCCTGAAAATATACCGTTTGTCCGAAACTGTGAGTCCTTGGGTGTCAAAAGATATCCCTTGTCAAATGTAAAGAATTTTTACACTTTTTATATTTTATTAAACATTATATTTTTCATATATAGGATACAATAATCGTAATTTAAGCTACTGCTTCCTAACGAGAAATATTGCCTCCTAATGTTAAAAAGGAAAGCGAAGGAAAGAATTAATTAGGTTCGTCGGGATATTGCGAGGAAAAGAAACATCTTTTTTGGCGTCAAATAATAATAAAATAATAAATAAATAAGTAAATAAAAAAAATAAAAAATATATAAATATAACATAAAATAAGTAAATAATAATCAAGTAATGTTCAAAATGTTCAACTTTAAATTGTCGTATCTATTGCAATTTACGATCGTTTTTATTAATATTTCCACTTTCGAGGTTAATGGACATTTAACAAGCAATAAAAACTAACTGGACATCGATATGAGAAAATTAGGTTTTTGTCGAAAAGTCGGTAAAATCTTCGATCCGGCCCACTGTGCGCCGTCGACGTCTAGCTCCGACGTTCGCGCGAATATCATGCGAACTTCATGAAGCATTTCCGCGAGAATTTCGTCGTGTTCGCCGCTACCGCGCGATCCCAAAGACATCGGGAGAGCTCCGTGTCGGGAATAGAGCAAGTTCGTAACGGAATTATCGATGCCGATCGTCGTATTCGCCTCGGAGTCTTCGAGGCTGCTCCGCTTGGCACTATTAATTCTCGACTAATTGCAACGAATCCGATCGATCCCAGGCCATTTTCGACTTCGAGCCGCTGCTGCTGTTGCAGGATTCCGAACTGTTCCCAAGGAAATCTCGTTTATCCTAGATTCGATCGGTCGGACGTCAGCCGGGGGTTATTTAGATGCTTGACCCGGATCCGATGCGGAAGTTTTCAGCGCGCGTGCTACAAGTTACCCGGGTCTAAATTGAAACGTGTTTTTTCAATTTTCGGTGCAGGTTCGGAGAACGAAGTTAGAAATGGGAGGTTCTTATCTTGTTGTCATTCCAAGTATCGTAGGTAAATTAAAAGGAAATATTTTCGTGTACAATGAATCAGTCCATTTAACGTTCTGTCCTTTGCCCTACAACCACGTCTGAGAGACGTGGTCAGATTAGACGTGGTCACGGCCAAATATGATTATCACGTTTGAGAGACGTGGTCAGATAATCGGGTCAGAATTTATTACCACGTCTGAGAGTCGTGGTCAAGAAATCGGGTCAGAATTGATTATCACGTCTGAGAGTCGTGGTTCGATAATCGGGTCAGAATTGATTACCACGTCTGAGAGTCGTGGTCCGATAATCGGGTCAGAATTGATTACCACGTCTGAGAGTCGTGGTCCGATAATCGGGTCAGAATTGATTACCACGTCTGAGAGTCGTGGTCCGATAATCGGACCAGAAGTGATTATCACGTGTGAGAGTCGTGGTCAGATAATCGGGCCAGAATTGATCATCACGTCTGAGAGTCGTGGTCAAGAAATCGGGTCAGAATTGATTATCACGTGTGAGAGTCGTGGTCAGATAATCGGGCCAGAATTGATTATCACGTCTGAGGGACGTGGTCAAGAAATCGGGACAGAAATGAGAGCAGTGATGCGTCAGTCAAGCCAAATATAAACATAACTAGTTAGGCTCGTGTTATATTAGGGGATACGTGTTTTGCGATTTTTTGTTTTCTTGTTATTTAATTATTTTATGAGTAGTTCATACGAAGGTCAATCGATTTCGATGATATTTTTGACGTGCAAATAACTTATCAAGATCTATAATACAAATTTTGTAAATTTTCGTTGCTTGCTCAGATAAAGAAGTTAAAAAAACAAGAGTTTCTTGTTTTCTTTTATCATTGTAAGCAATAGCAAGCCCTTAAAAAAGCATTCTAGTTACGGTCTAGTATACTGATCGCTCTATCGTCTTTAAAAAATGGCACAAAATGGCACGAAATGATAAAATGGCAAAAAATTGTGGCACATGTTCTTGAAATTTAAATCGTAGGGCAAAGGTTAAACATATTTCGTGCGATCGAGTCCGGTTTCAAAAAAGTCATCGCAATAAATGGCATACAATGGCAAGGAATGATCAAATCTAGGACAAAAAATATTGCAAAAAATATTGAATGGACCAAGGACGGCAAAAATGAAGGAGTAGGATTAACGCTCGATTTACGGAGCACAAAAAACAGCTGTTTCATATTAACTTATAAAACCAACAAAAAAAAGGCACTCATCCCGATTTTGAACAAGTGTCATTCTAACATATAATTGTAACATATAAATTGAATAAATAACTCACAAATGTATCTTTACGATACGAATAATCCTAAATGAAAAAATTAGTGTCCCGTCGTTTTGACGAGTTCCGTAAATCTATTATTAAATCTCGCTCGAGCGTGACATCCCCCGAACGGCATACCAATTTACCAGCGCGGGTCCCAAAAGATCATTGATTTCCCAAAACACAAAACCGTCGAACTTGTGGCACGAAACTCGAAGTGGACGTCGAACTTGTAAATCATATCCGCGGTCGCAAGACGCGACCAGAATCATAGCTCGCCGCATTAAACAGCCAGGCGAGCAGGCAGGCAGAAGTCGGTAGCTCTCTCTCTGGAAAGGTCATCGAAGGGAAAGCTAGACCCGTCTGCCGAATGCAGGCCCGGATCGAGCGCCTAGGTGGTACGTCTTCCGCATGGTCGATGAAGCGAGGTCAAGTAGGGTCGTCGTCGTCGTCGACGTCGACGTCGTCGTCGCAGCGATGCCACGATCGACCGGCTCGAAGGTCGAGGAAGGAGCTTTCGGTCGTCGAGGGAGAAAGAGGAGCGGCGCGGCGGCGAGTTGGAAGGTTCATTGACGAGGAGACGCGAGACGCGCGCGTCGCGAGCTGGCAGGCTCTGCGCGCGCTGGCTGCGAGAATTTTCCTACAAATATGAAAGTCGAAAAATTGAGTCCGGGCCATAAATTACCGGTCCCCGGAGCGCCGCGCGCCGCAGCGCCGAGGGGAATAAATGATTCGAGGAACGGGGAGGAACCGGTCCACAAACAAAAGCCTCGGATCCGGCTCCATCGGCGCGCGGGCTACAACGAGAGGCGGTGGATGAGGGGGACAGGGAGGAGGCGGGGACAACGGCTGGAAGGGATTCAGCTCAGGAAGTGCTGACTCCGATGGGGAGGGTGGTGCTGATGTTGATGAAACGGGGAGCAGGGGATTCCGAAGTCTTTGTTCCGGGACGAGCGCTTCTTAATCTCGCGAAACCGGTGTTCCTGCACGATGTTTTTCTGCTTCCTCCGTTTATCGCGATCCTTCTTCATCCCTCCGTTCTTCCCGAGCACGATCCTCTTCGTCCTCACTGGGTTAGTCGAGCTTTTAGGGTCGCCGGGATCGCCGGAATCGCGACGGTCGAGAGAGGCCCCTTCGATTCTCGGCGTCCTCTGTTCAACCGACCGGGAAATTAGAACTTGTATCCCGCGGTGTCTCGCTCGGCTCCGCCGCGAACGAGATGTCTGTTTTATTCCGGAAATAAAGTTTTCAGCAGTTGCCCGGGATCCGGGAAGGTATCCGACAGTCCGCGATTTTACATTCGATTAGGTAAAGTACTTTCGGTTTATGAGAGATTCGGCTATCAGACGGAGCTTGCTGGCGTTGAACCAGAATCAACAGGAAGCTATATGTTTGTGTATTGCCATTTTTTATTATTTGTAATTTGCATATTTTTATCTAGAAATATTTTTAATATGGAAATATGCGAGTACGGTGTTTCGATATGTTTTTGTTTAACGCAAAACTTGGCGAGATCCGAACGTGATTAATGTATATACAGTAAATTCTCCCTAATTGACGCTTAGCTTGTACA